CATCACCCCCGTCGATTTGGGCACGATGATGCACTTTATCTACACGTATACATGTGATTCAGGCGGAAACACCCCACAATAATGTGCCACCTTCTAAAATGTCGACAAGGAGAAAAACAGTATAATAGGGCTGTTATTGAGGTAAAAAACCTATATGAATTCAAAGTAGGTTGGAAGGCTATTCAATAGTGGGAAGAAACAGAAGTCCTGATGCGTTGTAATCTTCGAATTACTTTACGGAAGGATCTCAGGCTCTAATCCAAGGGAGGGAAAAGTCAGTGGCTTTCCAATTTCTGTGGGATCATTGCCATTTGGGATTTCCGAGAGTCATATTCAGATATCGATCTAATGCGTCGATTAGTCAACAGAATTCTCAAGAGCAATTATTAGCCTTATGTATGTCTCTGTGCGTAGCAAAGATTCAACTGCTGTCGACATCTTGTAGAAGGGCCATTCCCGTCCATCAATTGATAATCGGCAGAATGCTGACTATTAAGTTGCTGGGTTTGTTCAGTCATCATCGTGGCAGCCGACCGTACAGTCCAACTGGCTACACTGAAACGTGATCTGTAGACCGTACTTCGGATTCAACATAGATGGGTGACATTGACTGTCCTTTTATGGATATTGATACGGGAGGATATTTGGCTTTAATTCATTTTTTTCGAGCGCTTTTGGGACGGGCCACATACTGACCTGAAGGTTTGGGACAATATAAAATGTTTAAAGAACCAAACTCGCGATAAAGGACAGGTCCCACTGGGTTATTGACAGTAGAGACGAATTGCAGAGCCAGATTTGCAGTTTTTACGATACTGTGAGAGCCCAGTTCATCTGAATATCATGCTCTGGACGTACTCGATAAATATTTTTTCCTCATGTGATATCATCACAAAAGTCAAAGGTCGTCTGAGTGCGAGTCAAGGGGACAAGTCTCATCGAATCTTCGAATTCGATTTATATTGGGCTCACGAACGAACGAACTCTTGGTTTCTTGAGTTCATAGATGTGACCGTAACAACGGTATTTCGTTCCTGCCTGAGGCAGTATCTCGGCAAAGCTGAAATTTATGATGAGCAATGGAGATTGCATATCTTTGTGACGAAAAGCTGATTTGAGGTTGTCATGTGCTGTAGAATTCTAAAGCCCGGAGAGATAGAAGGGTAAATGACAAAGTCTTTGGGCGTTGATCGATCCCGTCTGAGGGATGCGCTCTTGCATTTGACTCGGCCCAGGAGGCTTAAGAAGGCATGGTTGACCTAGGCGGACATCCATCCGCGATTGGAGCCCGTGACTATGAGTGTGTGATAGTGCACCCTTGCCACTACACCACCTCCAAGAGGTGGTTAGTAACTGAAATTGAGCCAACCTTTGAAGGTTTCGATATCGTAAAGTCGAATAAATAGTTGTGAATGAGGCCGAATGAATAATCACGGATGTTCACTCAGGTATTTTAGTTGCATTACACCCTTATCGCTACGGTTAAGACGTTAACACCTTACTGATAAACTGGCATTTCAAACATTTTGAAGGGCTTTTGCTTCTTAATCGATAACGTCATCGGCAATTGTTTTGCATTAAATGGCACCGCCCTCGTTCGGGTAGGTCTAGAAGGTGTAGATTCCCAGTCTAATTCTGTTCAGCACGACTCTTTATTCTGCGGTCTTCGTATCCAAAAATTGTGCGGGTACCGTAAGAATAATGGCCGATCACATTTTCATTCCATCCCGGGACGCATCTTTAATTTCGCACCCACAATTGAGAGCAGTTAGTTTCTACGAGATGAAAAGGTTGATTAGTCGGTTGAAATTGAGTGTTGAATCCACAAAAAGGGCAGGAGGGAGGAATATGTCGAGAGGGCTGGATCGATCCGGCCACATCCCAGCCGGGATTAATCTGCGTTACCTTGATCGGTTTGTACATGGCCGCTAACTGTTATCGCAACGATCTGTGCAGCCGTTGCCTTGGAAAGTATGAGTGAACAGTCTGGATAGTTGTTCATATCCAGCTGCCTTGAACGAAGCAAAATGTATTATTTATTCATTTATTTATTTCATTCACCTAAAGGTGCGTTGCACTTAANTTGTACATGGCCGCTAACTGTTATCGCAACGATCTGTGCAGCCGTTGCCTTGGAAAGTATGAGTGAACAGTCCGGATAGTTGATCATATCCAGCTGCCTTGAACGAAGCAAAAGGTATTATTTATTCATTTATTTATTTCATTCACCTGAAGGTGCGTTGCACTTAAAGGACAGTAGTAATCTCTGTCATGAAAAACTGATTCGAGAATGGTGAAGAAACGTAAAAAAAGGTTCGATTGAAAGGATTCTCCTCACAGAAAGTCGCCTGTCGAGGTAAACCCCCATATTTCCTAGCATCCGAACATGAAGGTCAACTTCCCATGCAGTAGATTGAAGAGGTTCATGAATGAAACCTTTCTGCTCACTATGAGCGCTTCCAAGACCGATATAGTACCAATCCATGGTGAGGCTAACTTGTTGATCTGGAACTTCAAACGGGCAAATGAGTAGGATCTCGAGGAAGAAATCGGTCAACCTCCAGGATCCTTGTGCGACTAGCTGACCAATATCCAGATCCAGACAGGAGGGGGATCGAAAAAAGGCGATCGAGATCCATCACGAATGCAACATTAGTTGGAAAGGAAAACGTACGAATCGTTTTAGGGAGGGGGGATTCAGATCAAGAACTCGAACATATGGAACATTCGCCAATGTAGAAGAGAAGAGAGGGAAGAAGAGAGGGACTCTGAAGAGAAACGTTATTGGTGGGAGCTTATTTTGTGATATCTGAGAGATGAGCACGCAAACGGATGTAGGTTGTTCCTAGATGGCCTTGACGTATGTATTGCAGAAAAATTTGGCAAGACGTACGTCACCATTCTAGCATTGCCTAGACACTCGAAGGAGTCTTTTTGAATTAGTAATGACACCTGAAAAGTGCATTTTTTGATTCATTATGCCTTATTTATGGAGCCTTTTTTCCGTTTATTTGTACACATTAATCATGTTTTCGCATTGATTTACACTGTGAAAAGGTGCAACTGACTATGACAACAACGCAGGACCCGGTGTCAGGGAATGGGATTTTGTACTCGAACAGTGTACCACGTCCATCGCTTTAACCGAGTAGAATCGATTTCGCGTAATCGATTCGCCGCATGCGGCTATCGCGGACCATTCGCTTCGCCGTTATTACAGCTCTAGCGTTCTTCATACAGCTCGATCCTTGTTTGAGGCATGATTCTACTGTTAGTTCTTTTGTTCCCGCATTTCTTACCTGCTGCTGCATCCTGTTATTCAATTGCGCGCGGCGTCCCTCTCGCCGCTACGCGACAATGTCGATCCTACTGCACCACACCCCTCTAGCCGTGTGCCGGAGCGAGAAGTGTTATTGTAATATCTGAATCTCCACTGATTGATATGGAGATTACCGCAAACCCCTCGAATCCATGCGTTTTGCCCGAGCAAGTCGGGTTAAAAGTCCACAATCTTTAAATAAGGTATCAGGCTGTACAGAAACTGTCTGCCGAAAGCGAAATTCCAGATTTTCTGGGGATTTTCTGATTTCCGTTTTAGGGCACTCCCCACGCGTGTACGGGCAACACATCCAGCTAACTCTTCCTTGCTTCCTGATCTATAATGACCGAACTATCTATCCTTATTCAAACATTCTTCACACACTAGTTCGAATTTGGTCACTCTGCTGCTGAAACTCATTGAGACTTGTTTCGACTATTTGGCTTTGAAACCCCCTCGAATTTGTTCTGTGCACTTTTCGTGAGATGAACCTTAATCTGGTCAACCCTGAAATCATCGATTTTCCTATGCATACGAGTGGGTGGTGATCTTTTACAGCATTTCTGTGAGAACTTTCAGAAAATCCACGGTTATGAACTATAGGGAGATTTTCGGCAGATACATTTCAGCATATCCTATTTTTCATTCTGTGTATATGCTATGGAAACCCGAACAAACTGTACAACCTCCGCTTTCGAAGATAAAATCCTTCGCGTTTGGTTCACCTGGAACCACTCAGAAGAAAACAACCTGGTTTTCTATCCCTTGTATATGCCAAGTACGGCATGTGATGAACCGATCTCTAGAAATTACATCTAATATCAAGATTGATTAAACAATACATTACCCTCGGAAGTATGCCTATGTTCCCTATTAAAAAATAGGCTAAACCAGGTGTGGTGCGGTAGAAGTGAAATTGTCGCGTCGCGGCGAGAGGAACGCCGCGCTCGAAGGTATGTAACAGTACGCAGCAGCAAGTAAGAAATACAGGAACAAAAGAACTTACAGTAGAATCATACTTAAAATAAAAATCGCATATCGACTGAGCTGTAAGAAGGACGCTAGAGCTGTAATAAAGGCGAAGCGAATGGTCCGCGACAGCCGCATGCGGGAATCGATTATACAAAACCGATCCTACTGCCCGGTTCCTGGCTAAACCCCTTGGTATCTTAAAAAAACGTGCCAAGGTTAGCAACTTATTTTGCATGTTTTGAAAAGGTCTTGTCTATGTTGGGCGGAGGTGGTATAGTGGCAAGTGGCGCACTATGTCACACGCACGGTCAGGGGTTCAAATTTAGGATTGATATCCGCCTAGGCCAACGGAGGCTTCCATTCCTCCGGGGTCGTTGAGTTGGTACCAGACTCGTCTGGAAGAATAAAATGGCTGACTTTAACATCGAGTCATTGTATAGGCCACATACGCATTCATTACGTCACTATGATTCTGAATGGAAGTCGAATGCGTGGGCGCATCCCTCAGACGGCATCGATTAACGCTAAAAACTTTATCCTTTATTTTATCCTTGTCAGTGTTGAGGAAGATGCAGGCTTCTCCAAAATGTATCATTGCTGAAAAGCATCCTGTTCTGTCTAATACGCATTCTTGGAAGCTTTTTCGACAGCGCAGGTTCTTATGTAAAGTTCCTCTAATAGAGCGAACATGTAGTACTAACTATCCTTCATGGCGTCAGATGCCGAAATATGTAGAGGATCAACTGAGGCGTGGGATCGCAGCAATGTGCCTCTTCTACATACGAAGGTGACCTGTGAGTCCAAGCATCGTTTGATATCCGTGACGATTTTAATGTAAAGATGCATGATCCCTGTAAGATCCCTTGGTGTTAAAAAATCACTGTGTATGAGGCATTTTCACGTCACGGTTCGACCCACGTCTCCCATTCAGTTGGTTTTGCACTTTCACCTACTGGACGATACCCACGATTAGTTGTGCTGTTTACTTTTTCAGTTTCATATTATGTGTGGGTTGAAGTCGGATAATAAAATTGTATGAAAAGCAACATGTGGCCACCTGGTCGTAATGGCATCCTCTTGACCGTACATTCGGCGATAATATCTCACTTAATGGACCCCATTTCAGCGTGACTTCTTTGCACGTGAACCGGACAGCTGCGAGATGATGGAGAGTGTGCTTTTCGTGACGAGAAGCGATGGGCGGCCTACAGGTGAATGAAGATCTCACTCTGAAAGTGATACTGAGGGTTGCCACAACGATGAATGATTTTTGTCTTTGACGGTTCCTATCATCATGTAGCGATCAGCCGTGCTGACGCCACAGCCGAGGCGACGCCTTTTAGGCGAGGTCTCGTCGAGTTTCAATGATAAAATCTTTTTGTGAGATGCGTTTCTTCAGGCGATGCTTTCGTTCAGTTCTCCGATGAAGAGCAAGGTCAACGAGCCTTGTCAAAACATCGGCAGACGATAGGAAACCGCTACATTGAGCTATTTCGGAGCACCAGTGCTGAAGTCCAACAGGTAAGCCACCTAAACTCCTCTTTCCAACTAAATAGTAAGTTTCTTCAGTAGGTTCTTGATGAGGTTTCGAATGGTATCAACAGGAGCAACACTACTTTTGTTCACCTTTCCTATCAACGATAGGAGCGAGTTAGAGGGAAGGGAAGAAGTAGGGTCTCATTCCTTATTCATCCAAACGAATCCACAACCCATTGTCCCACACGAAACACCCAGTAGTACAGTTCCAGCGACAGAGGGCACGCAAAGTTAAGCAACCTTTTATCGCAACAATTAAAAAACGATGTTCCTCAATGAAGGTTAAGTTCCACCAGTCGAATGAACGTTCCAGGCTTCTGTTTTTACAAAGCAAAAGTCTTATTGACGAGATACCAGAAAACGCAGAAAACGTCATAAAGCGGCTCCTTCATGTGCTCACGTTATCGCCTTGGTCACCCCTACACCAGCAATACCACATTCGCTTCTGCAAAGAAAGTCGTCTGATCAAACTGGTATCGTTCCCGGAGACTGCAGGGGAAATGGGACAAGTTTCCACAGTTTCTCGCCCAGATACTTTTCACATTGCGCGTGAACTAGGTCGTCACTTTTTACGCACTAATAAGATCGCAGAAATCGAAATGTGTCGACGGAACCTGTCAACGAAGGACGTTAGAAGTAGCCAACGAAAAACGCCTCACAGACGATGTTGTGCTCAGATGCTATGAAACATTTCCGTATTCTGCAATCTATGAGAAGGCCTTGAATACAAGAGAATTTTTAGACAGTGGATTACGAGGTCGATCAGTAGTTGGCTTGCTTGGAAAGCGAAACTAGGAAGCCAGTAATGGGGACCCACTGAGAGATATCGAAGGAGACTCACTTGATTGCTTACCAGTTTCGAGCAAATGTACAACGCACACCGTTCCAAAAATATCAACAAGCTCAACCACCCAAACAATCGCGAAAAAAGGCAACCTCAGCACACGAGACATGAAGACTCCAACTTTGCAACTAGGAGTCCCCTTTGAGCCCATAAGCTACAATTCTTTTTCTACCGATCAGTTAATATGTGGATTTCTAGGTGGTGAAGCGATCAACGGAGCCATCAGCTGCGAATGGACTGCGTCGCGATTGCGTCCGTCTTCGTGGCCTGCCATACGAGGCCCGAGTTGAGCATGTCGTAGAGTTTCTCGGTGAACACGCACGATTCATTCAGTTCCAGGGCGTGCATATGGTATTCAATAGTCAAGGTTGGTCTGAATCGAAGTGATGAATTGAGCTTTAATTAGAAAACGATGTTTTCAGTAGCACATATTTTTCAAATCACTGAAAGGATTTTTTCCTTACAATTAGCAAAACCAGTGTTTTTGATGATTCACTGTCAGCAGCCATATTGGTGGAAATTTACGAACTAGGAGACAAGGATAGAAGAGTAAAGTCCTTTGGCGTTAATCATTCCCGTTTGAGGGATGGGTCCGCTTTCGACTTCCATCAGAATCATAGTGACATAATGAATGCGTATGTGGCCTATACAATGACTTCAGCCGATGCACAAGTCAGTGCTTTTATCCTCCCAGACGAGTCTGGTACCAATTGACTGAACCCAAAGGGATGGAAGGCTTGGTTGGCCCAATCGGATACCGATGCGATTCGAACCCGCGACCGTGAGTGTGATATAGTGCATCACTTACCACTACACCACCTCCGCTCTAAACTAAAAGGTGAAACTCATTTTTTATTGAAATCAGCACTTGCTATTTGGCCATATCCATCGCTTAGAAGAGTTTACTTCGAGGGCACTGAAAAAAATGAATAAGAAGGCGACGCCGTCTTCGGGGATTTTTAGAAAACAGGGATAGCGTATAGGGTGTTTTGATATAAAACATCAACCATACTTTTCCCAGATTGCATCACTTGCTCATCTTCCATTCAGAATCACTGATTTATAAAAAAGTGTGGTCAGCCCTAACATTAATCTTACTTACAGAGGTTGTAATAGATGGGTTCAACGAAAGCTCCAGGTTAGAGTAGCCAACAGACTCATCTCGCTTAAGTAACGAAGGCGTCTTTAGACAGTGCATCCTCCTGTGCTGTGTTGTGCGTGCTTCTAAAAAAATGTATATCAGCACGTGTTTTTGGAAAACCACTTCTTATTTTCAACAGTTTTTTCACAACCTTGCGAATTTTTTTTCCGGATCTTATCACTATCAATGTTTTCACGGCATCGAATCTTTTTCCTTAAAATCCCGGACCAAAATTGATTCCAGGTCATCCCTCGGGCGAAGCGTTCATTCAGATGAACAGTGAGCAGGCGGCTGCTGGAGCCGCTGCCGCCGCTCACAACAAATTCATGATTATCGGCAAGAAGCAGAGGTATATTGAGGTAGGAGTTTTCCTGCTACACATCGTTCTTTCCAGTACTGTGTGAGGCTAAGCGTACGTGAAAGCAAACTGCCATAAGTATGAGTTCGATTGTTGTATGGGTAAACAAAAGTTGTTGGGGCTTGTAACGTTCTTTGTTCTGATGTGTTTGCCATGATATGGTTGGTTGGGATTGATCGCTTGCTTTCTCAACTATTCATCAGAGCAAGCGAGCTTGTAGTGGTTGTGGAAGGAATGGCTGATGCAAAACGGTTTAGGGGCAGCCCTTGAATTTTGCGGCATGTTTAGGTCTTCGATGAAGGCGATTCGAGCAAAACGACACCATTTCGAGTAGAAGCATAATAGGCATAAGCCTGTATCGATAGCTCATGTCTACATTGATAATTTGAATTATAAAAAAAAACAGACTTGGTTTTTTTCCGTCCGCGTTGGATAAGGGCCTATAGCTGAGTCGAGTCAAGGAAAGAAAAAAGAAGGAGAGGGCTTCATTTCTCAGTTCCTTCATCCCANCCCCCCCCCCCCCCCCCCCCCCCCCTCATGAAAAAATCAAAGAATGTGAGGGAGTCTTAGATACAACTCCTGCCAATTTTTTTGGGTGAAAGAGGGAAAAAGTTGGAAAAGCCATCTGAGAAAAACCTTTATCATTTAGTAGTGTAACTGAAAGAAACGTGTTGCTTTTCCCTTACCTTAAAAGTTCTATTCAATGAAGGTTTCGCAGCCTTGGTGCCTTTTGACATCACGCGTTTTCACGGTTTGTTGCACGCCGCTGTGCACCACGAGGTGCACAGCGGCGTGCAACAAAGAGAAGCTGTCAAATTCAAAGGAAACTCAAGCGTGATAGCTTTACGCAATATTTGCATATAGCTGTTCGCTCAAAGGAAACGCCCAAGAACGTAAGCGATAGTACCTCATCTGTTCGGGTGCAGCTAAATATGGAGAGAGTTAAGTGAAGAGGAGTTTCAGTGCGAGTGATCCAGTAAAAGACCAACTGAAAAAAAACAGCATTTAATTCTTCCCCGCCCATTGTCTCATCAGATATTGCCATCACATTGCCTATACAGTAACCAGGCCTTGATTTGAAGGTCTTTCAATGTTCTCCCGATGATATGCACTTGGTGATGACTCCAACGGCACCAGCCCCCGTGCCTCCACCTCCACCGCTCATGATGCCGCAGAGGCCAACTTTTGTACCAAGTACCGCTTTAAATCTTATCGATCACATGTATCATCTTATTTCTTTTTCTCCTTTTTTAGACATTCCCGCCTTGGTGCCGATGTCAGCACCGATGTTTTGGCCATATCCATCGCCTCCTGTTTCTCCTAACATGGTTATACCGGGGCAGGTATAGCTTCGATCGGTCGAACCTGTAAAAGTTTTGAATGCCGCTGATCTTATCTGTTTAGGTTAATCAACTTGTAGTATACGGCATCGGACCAAATGTTGGCTTACCTGATATAATCGCTCACTTCCAAACGCCCGATGTGGTGGTTGAAAATGTGAATTTCACTTTGATTTTTCTCTCATTCCTATAGCTGCTGTCATAGTCCGCCAGCCGGCCCGCCGGCGTGTCACTAGGCAGTGCTAGCGGGGAGGAGGGCGGCAGACGGTCGGTCAGCCCCTCGAAGGGCAGTAAACAAGGAGAGACAAGATCAAAAACCATATGTACAAGCCCCTGGTTGTTTGGTTTTTGATCTTGTTCTTCTTTGTTTTCAGCCCTTCGACCGACCGTCTGCCTCCCTCCTCCCCCTAGCATTGCCTCGTGGCACGCCGGCCGGCCGGCGGACTATGAAAGCAGCCTATGCTGTAGCCTTATCGTTTCTCTACTACTGTCCTGCACAGGTGATGTTCACTCGAGTCGCTCAGGGTAACATTCCCGGTGAAGCCGTGGTCACAATCAGGTCGCGGACACCATCTGATCCACCGGTAGTGGCAATAGATCCACAGTTTCTTCAGAAGGTAAATGATGACTAATTTTTTCTGCTTTCGGTTTTTCTTTTCTCACACTACCTGCCAGGAAAGCCTATAAGTACGTACAAATGGGTGAAACCCCAGGGAAAACCACACAGGTTCTGATTTAGCTTTCAGTGTTCAGCCTGTTACTTTGATCAGACGATCGTAGTTGACCTCGTGAATGAGCGCCATTTCATCTCATCTGCAACTTCTTAGACTTACAAACAAAAGTCACTTGCTTCATATCACGCTTGGAAACAGATGCAGTGGTACATATAAGAGAGAATGAGAACACTTTTAAGGTTCCGATAGACGCGCAGTTTGTGCCTGCCGGTGTGCCGATGACGCTTCCGCAAGCCCTTCCGCATCAGCCGATCTACACCCTCATCCAATCTTGAGGACACACCGACATTCCTCTAGGATAGCATCTGTGTGCGTCACTTGACCATCTGAACGTATTAACTTCACCGCCCGATGACTATGGATGCTACCTTTGTAAGATCCCAAACTGTATCATTCTGCAAGCATTTCTTAAAACGCTTGCAAACAAAACATTGAAGACAAAAACTGGAATGCCAAACCTCGTAACGCTGCGCATTGTCCATTACGAACTTTAAAAGACTGATTGACTAGTTTGTAGTATTCTTTCCTCTATTTACTCACATTTTTCCCTATTTCCTGCGCCTCAAAAGTTTTCAGCTCACTAACCACGTTGGATTAATGACTGATAATGAATTGGACGACTAGTGACTTTTGAGGCGTACTCCATTCAATGCTACCCTCATTTTAGTCGACGATTTCGTATTACTTGAAATCTTGCCTTTACTAACGACGCTAACTTTTTCCGACAACTGTCACAAAAGAAAATAATTAGTGCATCGATACGTACGTAAAGTACGTAATATGCGTCTTGTAAAAACATTCTCGTTCTTCAACGTACACGTGTCTTTATTAGTGTGATATAACTACCATCTTATATATGTGCCTGAATACTATTCTCCTTTTTTTTGCGTAGTAGTTATTTTTTAAAAAACCGATATACTATGTAGTCTGTGATCAATGGGCGATTGGCTTCAATTGCTGTGTCGTCGTAGAGTGATCTACGCCGTTGTTACTGTGATTTTCCGAGCGCTCTCACTTCATTATTTACACCAAGAATGCCTTCGTCGCGCATAATACGCGCCCGCAATTAATGTCTACGTGTGAGATTAATTTATTACAGTTCGTTGATTAATAAACTATCAATAAATACGTTAAACAGTCGGATTTCAACATGATGTGATTGCGTTAACATCTGTACGGGCGGGTTTATGTCGTTTGGCGCGGCCCTTTCGCAGCCATTAGCCATTGTGAGGCATAGGCTTCAACTGTCCCCCAGACGCAGCCCGTACAACGCTATTTCTTTGTCGAGCAGCTCGTGCAAACTATGCAGCCTCACGATTTTCGATCAACTATTGGATTTATAAGAGTTGCTTCATACCCAATTCGTGGCGACGCTGATTGAGTGTGTAAATGCTCAGAGGCCATTAATTTTTCCACACATCCTCACACATCGGTAGGAAGTGAAAGAACCGAAGAAACTACATGGGTAGCAAACTGGAATGTGTCGAGGAAATGAGTCTTTTGAAGAAATAATACTATTCAATAATTCGGAGAGGTTTTGCTGTGCGTATGCTTTTTACTTTTGTAGACAGGTTATTCGACGATTATTTTGAGAATGGAAAAAATTTCGTTTGCATCAACTCCACTGTAGCTGTTGCGCTCACACTCTCGCTCTCGTTCAGAGTCAGAAAGGTTGGAAGCTCTATCAATTCCCACATGCTGTTGTCCCTTACTACATCTTATACAGCTTATGGTACAAATGGAGAAATAGGCACCTCAGGAATATGCTGGAACCCGGGTATCAGAGTTCGCACCTTACAGCAGTAACTCGTAGCTACCTACATTCTGACATTCGTCCATGATAACATTAAAACGTTTCAAAGACTTTTCACTCTTCTCACTTGTACGCGCAGAATAAGAATGCGGAGCATTCCAAAAACGTCTGAACTCTTTCGAGATTCTGAGCAATTATTATTACCCGACCACGTAGTGATATGTACAGGGTCTCCCAAAATTATGGGCGCCAATATTCAGAAACTTCTTAGCTTGGAGTAATTTATCATAGTCCCTTCACCTGCTGTTAATAGGCGGCACAAGAGTGTTTTCTTGCAAAATACATGGTCACTGTCGGGAAACCCCCAATACCGTTCAGATGGAGGAGGCTCATTCAATGCCATTTGCAATAATTGACGCGCAAGAGGTGGAAGGGGTGAAATTCCTTGGGGTTGAATCGGTGGCAAACTAAACGAAAGGCCAATACTCTTGAAGATAGGACTATTGAGACGGTCCTTCTACCAGTCGGTCGTGATCCTAGGTGACCCATTAGAAGGAAGTAAACGGGCACGACTTGTCGGAGTTATCGCGATGGAAGAATGTCATGCAGAAACTTCATTGTCATTCCTATAGTATGCAGATATCCCACTTCATTTCCGGTCTCGACAGACAGCGTAGAATGAAACAATGCAGAAGGCTGTTGACTCGCTTGACTTGAGACACGCATCCCTGCATCGTCTTCTCTGCTCAAAAATTTTTTACGCAAAAACCATTTCTCAAAAAATGAAAGGATCGCGTTTCGTGTAGAATTATCGAATGTGCAACCTCTCACAAAAAAGCTACCATGAGAACAGCAAAATGATGTTTTTTGAGAGAGTCGCTGGCAAGGATAAGACGCTCGTGGTTTCGTCGGTGCCGACGTGAAAATTGAGAAAGACCTGTGCTCAGGGGGCATACCAAAGGACATAATGAGGGATTGATCGAGCTCCACTTCCTGGAACAGCTCGTAGTTCTCACAGCAAGATGGTACTCCAGCCGACAGAGCTGATCTTGCCCGAGTGGGTGTGGTGTCGACGTTAACTGCCCGACTTCATTAGCAAAGAGAGATAGCCATCTTGCTTCCCAGATTTTAACTCACTTAACTCTAACGCTCAACTCACTCATTTTAACTATTCCGTATGGTCCCTGATTAGAGGATCTGACGGGTTTCCGGTCCCAGCTTGGAATCCTGAAAGCATTAAAAAGGTTGGGAAGAAATGGAGGATACGCTGGGTAACGTTTGAGGTGTCTGAGAGCAAACTTTGGGCCCGTATCCACGCTCTTCGAAGATATTTTGAAATGTGGCTGTTGTAGTAGATGCTGTAAGCAAACGTATATATAGATTTCATTCTCATTCTCAGCTGAGAATTTTAAAATACATTGCCATGTATTGACGCCCATAATTTTGGGACACCCTGTATTATCCTTAGCTACAAGTAACAATGTATGAACGCGTTGCTATCGCTCGCGCGAATCATTCGATGATCAACGAGAATGCGTTCGGCACTAGACTCAGCTCTTATGGACCCTTTCGAACTCCTATTAATTTCTTTAGGAATATTGTGGCTTCCGTAAAACATTGAATGGTCACAGAAATGAATCGACGAAATCAGCCGTCAGTGAGCAGAGAGCGTTTGAGAAGGAAAAAACACCGCCTAGGAAAGTGAATGACAGCGCTGGCAGTAGGTCCACAAAGGTAGAGTGGCAGAAACACAAATGTGCTTACACGAAACAGTGGTAGTATAGTAGTAATGACAATGGGCAAAAGAGTTATTATCCGCCCTTATCGTTGGTACTGAGTGAAAAATTTACTTCCCTTAATAGCAAAATATCCTTGAAGCAATGTGTACACATGAAAACGTTAGATGAAAATTACAATCTTCTTAGTCACACTGTATCTCATGGAAGTAAGAAAATGAAGACAGTCATTGATCAAAATAGCTGAAGGGGAAATGCGGTGCAGACGTCAAGATCAACGCTTTCACAGCATACAGTATATACAACTTAACCAAGCAAACTTTCCGGAGTTCAATTACTTTGGTACGTACTTATAGGATAGCAAAGTAATAAGAAGTCCCGGAAGTACATACATCACAATGCGTCGTAAAGACCATATAGCTAGAGACTCCTGCTTATTAACGGGTTCCCCAAGGCGAGGTGTGAATCTGAAAGAGGTAGTGCATAGTTAAGCAAAGTAAAATTAGGCAATGATATCGCACTTCATGTCCGTTCTTTCATGCGAGCTGCTAGATCGGGCTTCACGATGTCCGCTTACTCGTTTCATCACCTTAATGCCAAGCATATGAAATTTTCAGATTAAAGAACAGTCGAAACATACCTCACTGATCGATCTTGTTTGCATAACCTTCTTACCATCTGCGTAATAAAAGCGCCCTGATGAAAGCTGATATACCTGAAAAGATGCAGTGCACCGAATTTGAAATTAAGCAACGTCTGGACAATCTGGAGTCTCATCGTGTCTAGAAGTCGCAGATGTTATTTCAATCCTTACTATCACTGCTTTGTATAATCATAAAGCCACCCACGANTTTCACCAAGACTCACGTTCCAGGGCACTTCAGGAAAAGGCCTAACATGGAGATTGTGCCCTACTCAAACCGCACCTTGTAGACCAACAACGAGTTCTATCTCAATAACATAAACAATATTCACTTCATTCTTTCCAGTTTCAGGTAATGGGTATGGAAAAGTTGCTATCCGACTTTGAGAAAGTCAAATTTCTGCAAGAGGGGAACAGGGACTGTGAAATCGTAAAGTCGCTCGAGATTTGGGCCGATGCCACTCATTTGTCTACAATTTCGTCAGGAACCCTTTAGTGCATGAAAAAAGTACGGGACATTTCCCGTCACTTCCGGAAGGATATACGTGGAGGATTTTAAGAGAAAGGTCAAATACGACGAAGTCATTTACGGAAGCCAAGTCCTCTTCGAAACTCAATGTCCCATTATTACTATTAGAACGTGATAGAAAAGTCTGAGTTTATCGCTGAAGATGAGGAAGGCATTCTTCATGATCGGAAAGCATTGCGATAACCTAGTCGTTGTTGCAAGGACATGCATCCTAACCGACAGGAGTAAGATACATTTTCATGACTTGTCGTTTACTCTTCTTTCTCTCGATGTTTCGTTCTCCAGGCTGTTTTTTTTTTGGTGAACAAAGTTTAACTGTGATGATTCAGATGGAAGTCGGTTCTAATGGCATGATCTGGGAAAAGACAGGCTTCAATTTCCCGGAAGTAAATCAAGGGAGGAAGAGTCATGAAATGGATGGTAACTTCTTGTTAACGTCCTCATTCATGGTTTGTTCCGAAGCTCAGCTCTTCCGGTTATCGAATTGTAATGCGCCGAGTTTTTCTTCCTCTTTGATGCCAGAATTGGCAGCAGAACTTCGTACTCATGTAGGATGAAGTCCCGATCCACTTCAGTCGGAGCACCCAGGTCCGGTTTAATCGGCACCTAGTCGAGCTTTCGCCCTGGCTGGCGAACAGTCTGGACTTGAAACTAATGGAAAACGTATGAGCATTCATGCTAAGGAAGATTTAGGAAGGAAACTGGCAGTTGG